GGGGCCGCCATGGCGGGGTGCGCCCATGGGCCGGGCGCCGGCGCCTTGCCCCGGTACCGGTGCCGCCGCGGAGGGCTCCGAGAGCCCCAGCCGCTGCCTGGATGCGGACGCGGAGCCCGAGGAGGTGGGCGAAGCGCTGCGGGACTTGGTGCGGGAGCTGCGGGACGCGCAGMGGGAACGGGTACCGTGGTCCCCCCCTCCACCCGAGCCCCCCCACTTTTGGGGCGCTTCCCCCTGCACCAAATAACGCTCCTTTCCGCCCGGTTTGGTGGCGCAGGAGGAGCTGCGGGCGCAGGTGGGCGCCCTGGGCCGGCGCCTGGCCGAGGCCGGGCAGCAGCGCGGGCAGAGGCTGCAGCGGCCGCCGCCTGAGAGCGAGGAAGGTGATGGCGGGAGGAAGGCCCAGGCGCCGCCGGCCTCGTGCTCACCCCGTCTCCCTTGCATGTTTTTTCCCTGGGGAAACTCCTTGCTGGGGGCAAACGCATCYGTCCCCCGTCTTTTATTAAGGGGGGTGGATTTGTGAGCGGCCGCTTGGTCTGCCGCCCGGGGCTGGCGGCCTCTGCGCTGCCGCAGCCTTCGTCCTCCTCCTCCTCCGTGCCCGCGCTGGGCGCCGCTCACCGCCGTGCCCGGTCCCGCAGGGCTCGGCGGCGCCGCGGCGGAGCCGAGCGCTGCCCACGCGGTGCCAGGGCTGCGGGGCACCGGGCACCGGGCGCTGCTCCGCACCGTGGCCGCGCCGGAGAGGAGCCCGCGAGCGGCCCAGGTGCGCGCTGCCTTGCACCACTGCCTCGCCATCCCGTGTTCCCSCGGCATTCCCGGCCTCCCACGGCATTCCTGCCCTCTGCTCCATTCCATTTATTCGCATCCTCTTCCTTGCGTTTTGTTGCATCCCGTTTCAGTCCTTGCATCTGCTGCGTTGCATTTCCGTGTATCCCACATCCTTCCTTGCATCCCACATCATCCCTGGCYTCTGCTTCCTTGCATTGCCTTGCATTTCACTTGGTTCCTTGCCTCCGCCTGCTTTGCACGTCCTCGCTCCCAATTCTTTCCTTGCATCTGCTTCCTTCCATTTCTTGCATCCTCTTTCTTGCACTTCCTTGCATCCTATTCCACTCCTTGCATCTGCTTCCTTGCATCCTGCTTCCTTCCTTGCATTTTATTTCTTGCCTCCTTTTCCTCGCATCTGCTTCCCTGCACCTTCTATTCRGCATTTCCTTTCATTGTTTGCATCYCTTTCCCTCTGTTCCCTCGAATTTCCCCACATCCTCATCTTTCCTGCRCCCTCTTCCTGCATTTCTGCTTCATTCCTTGCATCTTCTTTCTTGCATTCCCCTGTAGCTCACATTTTTCCTTGCCTCCCACGTCATTCTTCGCCTCCGCTTCCTTGCATTTCCCTGCATTTCATTTCCTTCCTCACCTCTGCTTCCTGGCGTCTCCCGGCGCTCCTCGCGTTGCGCCTTGCCTCGCATCTGTCCCCGCTTTTCTCCCGATGTCCCCAGCTCGACGGGAGGGAGCAGCTCGCGGCCGACGGCCCGGGCGCCGCGCTCGCGGAGGCGGCGGAGGCCGGGGAGGCCGGCGTGGAGGCCGATGAGGACGGTGTGGAGGCCAACGTGGAGGCCGATGAGGCCGGCGTGGAGGCCCACGAGGCCGATGCGGAGGCCGGCGTGGAGGCCGATGAGGACGGTGTGGAGGCCGACGTGGAGGCCGATGAGGACGGTGTGGAGGCCAACGTGGAGGCCGATGAGGCCGGCGTGGAGGCCGATGAGGACGGCGTGGAGGCCCATGAGGACAGTGTGGAGGCCAACGTGGAGGCCGATGAGGCCGGCGTGGAGGCCCACGAGGCCGATGCGGAGGCCGGCGTGGAGGCCGAGCCGGGGGACRGCGAGYGCAGCACCCGGCAGGTCGGCGCCGGGCGCGTCCGTGTCCTCCRTCCGTCCCGGTGCTCCCCGTCCGATGTCCCCCGTGTGTTTAGAGGCGCGTTCTCCCTCCTTCACCACGCAGCATTCCCCACTCTCCCAGCCTGTCCCATCCCTCCTCATCCGTGTCCCACCTCCCTTGTCCTTCCTGATGAGGCATTTGCCATCCCCCTCCCTCCCCATCCCATATCCCCGTCCATCCTCCGTTCCCACTCCATCCTGCATCCCCTGGGCACCCCACATTCCTTATCCATCCCTGCCCTCCCTGTCCAGYGTTCCCGTGGATCCCAGTGGAGTTCCCATGATCATTGGGATCTTGTGGGAATTCCCATGCCTACGGGGATCCCACGCCCACGGGTTTCCTGTGCTCACAGGGATCAGGTTCCCACATCATGGGGATCCTGTGGGGGGATCCTGCATTCATGGGGTTCCCATGCTCACGAGATCCTATGGGAGATCCCATAATCGTGGGGATCCTGTGGGGTATCCTCACTCATGAGGTTCCTGCACTGACAGAGATCCCAAGCTTAAGGTGATCCTATGGAGGATCCCTTGCTAAGAGGTTCCCATTCCCCCCAGCATCCCTTGGGGATCCCATTCTCCTTGGCATCCCTCTCAGTGCCATCCCGGGCTCGCGGGGACTCCTGGGGATCCAGCGGGCATTCCTGAGCTCCTGGGGATCCCGTGCTCACTGGGATCCGGCATCCATGGGATCCTACGGGGGTGCTGGTGCTCGTAGGAATCCCATGGGGAGATATTTATATATTTATATATATATTTATGTATTTATGCATTTATATATTTATATATTAATGTATTTATATATTAATGTATTTATATATTTATATATTTATATATTTATATATTTATATATTTATATATTTATAATTCCCACGCAGGTAACGGAGCCACGGGGCCGCCTCCGGCGCCGCCACCACTCCGGCCTCGCCAGCGACTGACGCCGTCCCCCCCACGTCACCCGCCGTGTCCCCCCCGGAACCCGAGCCTCAGCCGAGCCCCGGGCAACTCATCACAYGGGTCTGCGGCTCCGTGGAGTGACAAAGCGGGGAGCCGAAGGCAGGGGCCAGCCCCCATCCGGCCAAAGTGCCCCCGGACCTTGATCTTTCCCCCTCACCATTCCCTTTCCCTCCGGCTTTTTTAAGGGGAAAAAAAAMCAGAAGGAAGAGCAGATACCACTAGTGTATTTTTGATACTGGTTGAGCCCCGTTAGGGTCTTTTTTTTCTTATTTTTTACTGACATTTCTTAATGAGAGGTTTGGAAACTCCTATTTTTTTTTTAACCACCCCCTGAKCAAGTTGCTCTTCGAGCAGCCCATCCTTATTACTATTTTAAACCMTCCTTTTTCTAACTGAATCCTCACCTTAATGTACAGCACATCCTGCATCCGCAGCAGGAGGGGATGAGCTCTTTTTCCCCCCGCTGCTCCTTCGGGAGCCCAACTTGCTCCCGTGCTGCTCCGGGATCTCGGGATGCCTCAAGGCTCCGCCGGGATCGGAAAGTCCTGTTGCCAGAAGCAACACCCGGAGCGCCGGTACCGAGCGCCTCCTTCCTAAAGTGTTATCTGGAGCAGCGGTACCAAAAYCCTCCTTCCCAGAGCCGTATCCGGAGCATCAGCACCCAAGTGCCTCCTTCCCAGAGCCGCATCCGGAGCACGGATACCCAAGTGCCTCCTTCCTGAAGCTGCCGCATCCCGAGCATCCCGAGCATCCCAGGCACCTCCTTCCCGGATGCAAGGAGCAGCTCAGGGCTCCTCGCTCAGCAGCAGCGGGGCAGGGAAAATTTGGTGCCTTTTTCTCTTTTCGCCCTGTTTTGCACTAAAAATAAATGACCCTCCCGAGCTGCTTGGTTCTTTTGTTACTCCTTAAAGCCATTCCCAGGGCGGATGGGTGAAAATACAACAAACCTCCCTCAGCTCGAGGTGTTTATTGCCAATAACAGCAGTGAGGGGAGCTGAATATCCGACCCAGAGCAAGGCTGGGGGGCAGGAAGCCCCYAGCAAGCTGATACAGGAGCTCCTTTCATCCTCGCTGCCCCGTTTTCCACCATTTGCCCCAAATCAGCTCTGTTCCCCCCCCCAAAAAAAAAGAGCCAGGAGCCACAGCAACCCTTACACTTTTCTTTTGGATACTCTACATAGACCAAAAAAAAAAAAAATATACGGGGCTGGGGGGAGGAAGGGGCTCAGCTTCATCCCCCCCCCCAATGCCCTTACAAATACAATAACAACCGTGCCCTAAAAAAAATAATAATAACCTCCCCCCCGGTCGTATACGTATGTGCACGAAAGCGGACCCCTATGCTGTTTCATGCACTGTTTCTTTAGCACCACGGTGAGGAGGAGGAGGAGGAGGAGCGGGGCGGGGGGCCTGGGGCTGGCGGGGGGTTCAGCAGCCGCCGCAGCTCCGGGCGCAGGAGGCGACGACCGTCTGGCAGAGGCCGCTCGTGGCCATCACGCCGCACTTGGAGAACTTGTCGCGGCAGAGGTCGGCTGCCAGGGGACGGTTAAAAGGGCCCGGGTGCCGCGGCGGGACCCGTCTGCACCCGCATCCGCGTGGGAGGACCCATCCGCACCCGCATCCCCACCTGCATCCACATCTGCACCCGCATCCGCATGGGAGGACCCATCCGCACCCGCATCCCCACCTGCATCCCCATCCGCATCCTCATCCCCACCCACATCCCCAGCCACATCCCCATCTGCACCTGCATCCGCATGGGAGGACCCATGTGCATCTGCATCCCCATGGGAGCACCCATCCGCACCCACATACCCACCCGCATCCACATCTGCACCCGCATCCGCGTGGGAGGACCCATCCGCACCCACATCCCCACCCGCATCCACATCTGCACCCGCATCCGCATGGTAGGACCCATCCGCACCCGCATCCGCACCCGCATCCCCACCCGCATCCCCATCTCCATCTGCACCCGCATCCCCATGGGAGGACCCATCCGTATCCCCATCCGTATCCCCACCCGCATCCCCAACCGCATCCCCATCTGCACCCGCATCCGCATGGGAGGATCCATCTGCATCTGCATCCCCATGGGAGCACCCATCCGCACCCGCATCCCCATCCACAGCCGCATTCCCACCCATATCCCCATCCCCACCCGCATCCACCTCACCACCCGCATCCCCAACCACAACCCCATCCCCATCCCCATTTGCACCCGCAATGGGAAGACCTATCTGCACCCACATCCGCATCCCCCCCACATCCCTGTCCACATTCCCATCCGCATYCCCAACTGCATCCCCACGGGAGGACCCATCTGCACCCGCATCCCCACCTGCATCCCCATTCGCATCCCCATTCCCCTCCTCATTCCCATCCTCCTGGCTTCACTCCGGAGCAATGACTCCAACCTGGGATGGCCGGTGCTGCGGCAAAGCCCGCACCGCTCTTCACCCCGGCCAAGGGTGYTTTATGTTTCGGAGTGCCAGAAAARCTGYRTTTCRCCCCCAAAACGCAAGCTCACCTCGCAGCAGCTCCTCGTGGGCGCACACGGTGCGGACGCAGATCTCCTTGTTGATGACGTAAACCCGGCGGAGGCTGTGGAGGGAAAGGGGCCGATTGCAAGGGAACCCCCCGCCCCGGCGGCCGCGGGAGCTTGCCGGGGCTCGGGCGCCCTTGGGGCGCTCTACCTGTAAAAGCAGATCTCGTTGAGGCACTGCTTGCAGGGCTTGTGGACCGAGTAGAGCCTGGTGCAGGGGTACTGCTCCTCCCGGCAGTCTGCAACGAGAGCGGGTGGCTGCGGCGCTGCAAACGGGGCGAGCATCCGCGGGGCTGCACGTGCTGCACGTGTGTGCAATGCTGCAAGCTCGAGTATCTGCAGTGCTGCAAGTGCTGCGAGCTCGAGCATCTGCAATGCTGCAAGTGCTGTGAGCT